CCGGAAAAAAAAAAAAAAAACGGAAAAAAACGGATCCTCGTATTACGTCGGCGGATTATCTCGGATCGAGTGTAAATCAAGACATGATCGGATACACGTGTAAATTGAACATGAATTAATTTCTCGTACATGCTAATCGCATGTATTCCGCGCGACTCGCTCAAATTTATTGTCCGCAGTCCTTCGTGTTTTTATTCGCCCGTTACTCGAGCAGGATGCACGCATCGTTTCGCCTTGGCGCGGATCTCCTCCTTTTTGTTTTTTTTTTTTTTTCCTATTCCTACGCTAATTGTCGGCGACGCGTGAGCGCACAGTGAATAACTCTGCATTTCGAGTCTTCGAGTGAATCGTTGTTGCTTATCGCAAACAAATTTTTAAGTTATTATTAAAAGGATACCTGGCGGTGATATGAGTATTTTTCTACGATTTTTCAAAACAAATAATTCTCGTCTACATAACTGCGAGATAATAAAGAGAATTAGATGGCTGGATTTTATCTGTTGAGTTTCTACGAACGAATGCAATTACGCGGTCGTTTATTAACAATAAATAGTTTTTCGTCCATTCCGTTCCGTCTTGTCATTACGTTGACGTTGCGGAACGATTTTTTTCTGGCTATTAAAATACGCCTCTTTTAATCGGCGTTGATGTAATACAAACTAATGGCGTAATAAGATATAGATACGAGCTATATTTTACGATGTAAATTACAGTCGTTCCCTTGGATACACAGCAACGTCGTATATTACTTTATTTTTCTGCGCTTCGCAATTTTACTGTGTATAATCTGCTGAAATCGGCTCCGAGAAACATAATTAAAGTTCGAACTTCCAAGTTAAGCGTGCGTCCTTTCGTCAATTTTCACCGCAACGATAAATATTGAGAACACTTAAGCTCTTGGTCTAAAGTCTTAAATTAGTTAGAGCTCTGATCTTCGCTTTATTATTCGTTTCTCGCATTATCTCGATATCATCTTTTGAAGGAAATTCAATCAATGAGATTCTACAAACAGTGATGAGGTAACTTCAACCCTCTGAAGCGTGGGAGACAAATCCGATTGTGGGACTCGAAGGTTTTAATTGCGAGAAACGATCAAAGGTAATCTAGGATCGCACCGGCAAACGGTGTCACGTCGCGACTAATTAACGGATAATTTTCACGAGTAGAGTCTTGAAGGTACGCCTTCCCCTGTGTGAGTTTATTATCCGACGAGTCGCGATTGATCGCGGCGGACACACGTGTTACTCGCTGTGCAATAATGCGGCAATCTCGCGCAATGAAGATTAATTGTTAATTACACGCCACACACTACTCGTCGAATTGTAGAAAAAAAGGAAAACGCTTCACAAGACTGTTGTGTCAAGCAAATGATTCGTACAAATATGGCTGTGATTAAGAAAAAAAAAAAAAAAAAATAAAGAATCATAAAAAAATACGCACTGTCACGTCGCTTTAATCGACAGATGACGCTCGGCGATTATCGAATTATCAATTATTACGTTATACAGCAATTATCGATCTTCGATGATTTTCATAGGGCGAAATATTGACGATGCAATGGGAGGATAATGACGAGTAACCTTTTCGCTCGAATTATCCCACACGCGCGGAATAACGCAATGGGAATTTTTATTACCTCGGCTTTATTCGCGTGGAAAGATGCCGCGAAAAGATATAATGCGTAATTTCATGTAGTACACCTGCTTATTACGATCTTATTTATGTGTCCATCTATTATCCATCGCACGTGTGCGCGACAGCGGCCAAGGATTTTTACGTTAATCAATTACGGGAATGATAATTAATCCGATAACTTCCGTCTCGTTCCACAACAATCCTCGCGATGATTTCTGTAAACTGCAATTGCGCTTTTTAGTCCCGATGAACCGACGAGATTTGGCTACGCGATTATTTCCCTCAACCAAGGCAAATAATTATGCTTCGCCTGCTTATCGCCGGCTGTATCAGCACGCCATTCGCGCGTGTAATTACAACGGTTTAAATTACAGATTCGCTTCTCCATGCATCGAATGTACCTCGTCGCTGACAGAGGCAATTTCTGGAATTGCCGATCGAAACCGTCGCGAAAAAACAGTATTTTGTCCGCATTTCGAGATCGCCGTCCCCATTGCCAAGTTTACATTTATATACCTTGGCATTCGCCACAGATGATCGGCTAGTCACAGAAATCGAAGGAATTCCTCAAGCGTATCTAATCGCATTTTTTTTTATCGATGTCAGAACGATCGTCGCCATTCGGGACATTCGGCAAACGGTCATGGCTTTGTCGGTCTCCCGTCGGTTTCTTCGAAAAATACCTTCGTCATCCTTTGTCAAGTGAAGCGTGACGATTTTCATTCAAGATCAATTTTACCTATGACGTTCTCGTTTCGACTTCGTCAATTTCGCCTTCGCTTCATTCACCTTACGTAAAAATCGTCGAATCGATTCGATGGACCACGAAAAATGTTAAAGCGAAACAAGACAATTAGAAAAGATATTTCAGAATTATTCTCCACGAAAAATGGAGAGTCGATAATTATCACGGATGTGGCTGACCTAAGAGAGACATTTTTCCATCTTGCGAGTTGAGACAATGAGTTTTATTCTGACCAGCGCTTGTTGTTGCAAGCGTTTCTTATAATAACGATATATATATATATATATATATGCGAATGATTAATTTTCGTTCCATCTCAATGTATTTTGGTTCAAGGTGATCCGGCCTGGTGTGGCTCTTAAGCTTCACGCTCGTGCGCAAGAATACGAGTCTTTTCTAATTCGTGCTCGTTATCGCAACTGCACGTACTTTCCCTTCCCAATTCGCTCCTCCTCCGAAGATGATACTCGCGCACGTGCGATAAAACACGACGTCGCAATAAAATCATGAATAACGATGATGACGATCGTGTAATTTCTGTTACGCGAGATTCCACGAGTCGGGGCGTGACACGTGCGCTGTCGTCTGCCTTGCTCGTCATCGATCCTTTAACCTGTACCTAGTAACCCTTTCACGACGACGTAAAGAAATATATATAAAAAAAAAAAAAAAAACCTGCCGTATAAAGTTCGCGACAGTTTAACATCCATATCTCACACGTAAATACTTGTATAATTATTTCACCCCAATTTGCATACTTGAGGTTTATATTATAAATCAAAGATAAGATATCTGCAAATGCACGTGATGTAAGATTTCGTAATTGAAACGATTTAAATAATTTCGCAAAGACGAGAGGTCTTCCTGCGCGATCCTGGGACAGCGATTACTCCTTAGACGAGAGGCATCTGTGCAACATCTGTGTCTAATTAATCCGTTCTCCATTTGTGTCCCGGATCTGGTGTTCGGTGAACGTGTCACGCGGAATCCATTCGCTTACTTTTAGGACCGGTGCAATGCGCCGTTCTCGCGATCAGCATTATACGTAAATCGCACCGGTGGAGAGACCTTGAACCTTGATCACCGGCGTAGCCGCTACCTCGGCCAGGATATTGAAATTAAAATGCTACCGTGCCGATCGATCGTGAATAATAAAGCTTCGCAACGGCAGTCTTCCCGCTGCGTTTCCGCTCACAATTCGTTTGCTCATACCCGTTTTGACGATGAACGCACGTCGAACGGCGATCGGCATCTTCCATATTCATGAATGATGCGAGTTGCCGTCGATAAAGCAAGAGTCTTTTCTCGTGAAAAAAATTAGACGTAATGGTGTTCCGAGAAAAATACGTTAAGAATCCGACTTAACATAATGAGACAAGAGGGAACTCTACTCTATGGGAATTCTTAAAACTAGGATTCTCAGGCGCGTTCGAAGACTATACGACTTACGACTTATCTCGTATCAATTCAATCTGTAATTTATTGCATGCAGCGTTTATTCCGCATTCTATCCGAATAATGCAAGCTCACTAGGATAAAAGTATCGATTGCGCGATGGTTGATGTATCCGTCGACAAACGCGACAACTATAATTCTCGTCGCACGCTAATTATATAATCCTACGGCGGCGTGTAATCTTAACGTAAACAACAGAAGGATTCTCTAGTTACGCATTTTTCAAATCAGGCAAGGATGTTCCGCTCGGTGATGCAAAAATTGGCGTTCCTCTACAAGCCTTACGCGTTAGCCATAGTGTCGATCGGCTATGTCCTAGGAGAATTGGGCCATTTTTTAATAGGTAAGTTTCAACAGATATTTCTGTATTTCATAATTTATCTTGACTTACATATTAATGAATTTCGAGTAATGATATTTCATCGGAATTGAGTCTCTTTAATTTGTGTATTAATGTATTAATTAAATTTTATATTAAACGTTAAAATGTTGGGATTTTTTCAATCTGACTTTACTAAACGACGTTGACCTCTCGATAAGGCGTGACGAGCAAAGCCATCGCTGAGGACCTGCATTACGGCGACATTTCCTGCCAATTCAATTCGACGACGTTGACGGTGGCCGAGCTTCCGGTGCAATGCGAGACCGCGGAGAATTCCACCTAGTAAGTCTCGTCGATGCCACCTGCTCTCAGAAATTCCCGGTCGGGAAAGGTGTACCGGCTGTACTGTAACTGTAACCGCAATTAGCCTTAGATTGCCGTTTTCCTCCTGTGACAACTCGATTTCCTTGTAGGTGATTGATTCATCGCGCGCGACTTAATACCGCTAAGTCACTTCGTCGATAATGAGACGAGATATACTGTTACGAGATATCCGCGAGAGGACACGCGACTCCGCGCGCCGAGATTGCTCGAGAGCCGCCGTTAACGTTTCCGGAAAGATTACCGAGCGAATAATTGTTCGCGCGCGCGTGAATTCACGGGAGAGGATCCCGCGCGTGTAAAGCGCGTATCGTACGGGATTTACACGCGGTAATCGCGGACAAGGGGTCGCAAATCGATCGCACGCGGATCTTGCGCCGCACGCGGATCGCGACCCGCATCGCGATTATCGCGTTCGTCGTCCACGTCGCGCCGCGTGCCTCGCTCTCGCTCTCGCCTGTGTGTCAACAACGCGGCTCTTTGTTTTGCCGCAGCTGTCGATCCCTGGAACTAAACGGGTCCTATTACTGCGAGTGGAATTACAGCGGCCTCGGTCTGGACTATCAAATCTTGGCGGGGCCCAGCTTCATTGCGGTCTTCACGATCGTTGGTATTATCCTGGGCGTTGCGGCGGACAGATACAACAGGTAGGCGGATCGAATTAACTTAATTACACACATGTCGGGAGGGCCGATCACGCTATGTCTCGTGCTCTTTTTCTCTCGGTCTTTTTCCCCAGGGTGAGGTTGCTGGCGGTCTGCACTCTGGTATTCAGCGTCGCGATCATCCTGAGCGGAGCCGTGCTGGAATACTGGCAGCTCGTCATTCTGCGGATGGTCCAGGCAGCGGGGTAAGTCCTCGCTATAATGGCGCTTCCACTTCCGGTCACTCGTTCGCAAACGAACGAACGAATGACACGATCGATCGCGCCGCGTTGGTTTTACATTAAAATGTCCGAATCCGGACACCGCAGAGAGGCGGGATGCAATCCGTTGGCGACCGGTCTTCTGTCCGACTGGTTCCCGGAAGAGCAGCGAGGCCTCGTCATGTCCATTTTCAATTGGGGCATTTACGGCGGTTACGGCATCGCTTTTCCGGTCGGTCGCTACGTGCCCGAACTGAACGCCTGGGATCTGGTGAGTTAACGTCCGATCGATATTGTTTCCCTTGTATTTGTATTGTATTTTTATTTCTCCCTCTCTCTCTCTCTCT